CCCTCTGTGTCACCTGTGGAAGCTGGGGCACAGGAACTGACGCAAATGCTGACACCAGCTCCCACTAGTGCTGTGAGCAAGGAAGCTCAGCCCTGTCGCAGACTGGGGTCTCGCGGGTGCTGCCGGCCCCCAGGAGGCTTTGTGTGGCGGGCCAGCCCGGTTACTCTGGAAATAGGGCAAGGTCTGAAACTCTTCACAGCCCTTGACAGCTCACTTTCCTGAGTCTCAATTTCCTCAATTGTAAAATGGGAACAACAGACTGTGGGGACGACAAGCATTGATACACATAAAGGGCTTAGAATAGCTTTCAGCCCTGGATACATGCTCAAATTAAGATAGTTATTTTAGGGGCGCCTGGGTGGCTCAGTCAGTTAAGCAGCTGCCTTCAGTTCAGGTCATGATCCCGGGGTCCTGGGATCAAGCCCTGCATCAGGCTCCTTGCTCAGCGGGAAGTCTGTTTCTCCCTCTCCCTGCTGCTCCCCGTTTGTGCTCTCTCACTCTCTCCCACCATCTCTGTCAAATAAGTAAATAAAATCTTTAAAAAAAAATACTTATTTTATCTACTCTTGTAGGCCGAATGTTTCAAACCTCAAAAAAGCAAAAGAAACATCATAAAAGGGGACTTGAAGCCCACGGTGGATGAAGAGACAGACTTACTAGGGTCTCTGAATGAACTGAAGCTTCAGAAGTCCTGAAATAATTTACAGATGCGATTATAGAACAGACTACTCATAACTCCGAAAAATAATCTTCTGAAAAGAGGGGAGAGAAAACCAAAAATGCCAAAAATCCCAGTTTTAAGAGATGGATTCTGGACACAGCAGACAGGCCAGTGAGATGCGGATTCCTGAAAACATTCTAGAATCGATGATGAAACAGATGGTCTGTAAGCCTGTGGTAAAGAACACAGCAAATACTGGAAGCCTGCACGAGCTCACAAGAAACATGCTGTGCTGTACTAACATTGTTTTCTGACAGGATTATCAGGTTAACCACCAAAATACCGTGAAAATAGTATAGCATGATTTCCGCAAGAAAGGGCGATGTGGGATGGAGGAACGGGGGTTGAATGAGACTATAAAGAAGGCAGCTACTGACCTAAAAGATTTCTAATGGAGTGCCAACTCTATCCTGTGCATCGGGGTAAGCCTAGACTTGGGCAAAGGTGCAGAAAACATGTCTGGAGATGGCATAAAGCTGAGAGGAAGAGCCAGCATACCATTTGAAATATTTCCACAGTCCAGAAGCACGTCCTAGCCCAACAGAAACAGAATTCAGTTCTTCGTTTGGGTTCTTCACAAGCCAGGCAGTGGCTAAGGGAAGTAAACCTGGGATTTCAGTCGCCTGAGGCCTGGGGAGCGCCAGGCCAGAGCTAGGATGCAGCTCCTGAGAAAAAGCAGCTTTGGCCACACTGAGCCGCATCAGCACAGGGCTGTGGCCTGACACCCCAAGCAGATGCCACCATGAGCCACCATGTCCAGTACCTTGTGTACATCTCTTGCTTAACCCTTACAACCCAGGGGTACAGACAGAGGACGAAGTTCAAAGAGCTGAAGGAACAGACACACTGTGCCAAGATCATGGGACACCTCCGCCGCATAGCCAGGATGCAACCCCAAGTCTGGGCCACCCCTTGGCCTGTTGAGACCTCCACACCACTGTCCAGTGGCCTCGGTCACCCCACACCAGCAGAGCTGCACCCAGTCCCCCAGGTTACTCTCAAGGCCAGGTCACATGAGAAACTGCAGAACTAGAGCAAATCGAGCTGGAGAAGAAGGAGAAGACGTGATGAAGCCTAAATGCATGATCACGCCTTACCAGACTTCTGCGGGGCCTGTCCCCGCTCCTCACTCCCCACTTGCGTCGGTCCACGTCCCTCCATGTGCCCCATCTGCCTGAATCCGGCCCCACCGGCCTGCTGGCAGGTGTCTGAGCCCTTCCTTCGCTCACACCTTGAGGCGCTGCACCTGAAGGCTTGCCCTCCTCCATGGCATGCCACTTTCAATTGGCCAACTCTGCCTCGTCCGTCCTTCAGACCTCAGCTCCCTCCAGGAGACCGCTGCGTTAGACTGGGGCCTGGGCCGAGCCCACCCCCTGCTGCAGGGTGACCATCTGCTGAATGTCCTTCAATAGACACCCCAGTACATCTCCTGCTTGATGACAGAGTCTCTCATGCACTAACCCTTGGGGAAGATTAAAAAACAAGCAAAGTTATTTTAAGGGCCCCTACAAATATGAATGATCTTATCAAAAATTAATTTAACAAATTAAAATACCATTACTAATACTTTTGAAGGAATTTATTAGGTTTTGGTTTCCAGACCTCTACAAAGTTAATGCACAAGTGTCTGAACCCCAGAAGAGAATAAAGACATCAGCAGCAAAGGAGAGAGGCAATCTCGCCTCAAAACCCGGATTTTCCACCTTCTTCTCAGGTATGATCGAAGGGAGGCTCTACCTTTGATATTATTCCATGTCTTCTGAAATGAGGTTAACTCTACTCCTAAAAGATCCGAATCAGTAATGAATTGCAAATTAAGAATTCTGACAGTGCCTGGCTGAAAAAGGGAAGGGAATCTGACAATCCAGTTTGACAGAAAAGATCACCTCTCTGGCTTTGAAGTGACTAAAATGACAACATGTCAGAGGAAAGGGTGTGTTGGTGGAACCGTTTGTTCCCTACAATCAAACTACTACTTTATCTGGAGGCGTGCACCCAGCTCTTCAGGATGCAGCTTGGTAGAGAAAATGCCTTCCCGAGGACCACCAACCATGAAGTGATGCTATGCCTAGCCCCAGAAGGTGCCTTTCTTTGGTCTATGTTTTGTATCTCCCAAGAGCTTGGTCTCCTATAAAGTAAACCATGAAGGGCAAATGAAACAGACCCTGTTGCTCAGTGTTATTGGACATTGCTCTGTTTAAAGTACAGGCCTGCAGTCTGCCAAACCTTCTCAGAGAAGCCATACATGCGATGATTCTCCTCTCCCATTCCAACGATGTTTTAATGGACAATAAAGAGCAAGCTTAAAAATAAACAGCAAGCAGCAGCTGGAGATGTTAGGAGGATGTAAAGACCGAGTTTTATACTCTGCAAGTGGAACTGCACCCCAAATCTACTTTTAGCCATGAGTCCCACAGTAAGGGTTAGAAATGATCTTCCATAAGATAGCGAAGGGGTAGAAGGCAGAATTAACTACCTCTTGGATGCAGCTGTGGATGTCATGGGGTTTCTTCTTGAGCTTTCATTTTTATTTCACAACCTTGCCCCGTGGTTAGATCTGACCCTGTTGAGCCAGTCTTTAGTGTACATGCTGCTGCTTCTGTTTCTAGGAGTTTCTAGGCCTTCAATATGATGGAAAAGCTTTCTTCAATCCAATGCTACAAAAGTAGCAACCATATTCTGACATTTACCAGGTTTACTGCAAACCGTGAGGAAGCATTTTTAAATTAATTAAATAAAATTCTCCACACACATAAGTAAGCTCAGAACTTCTGCCCAAACGCTAAATGCTCCTAACATTGCCATCCACTTTTCAATCACATTGGAAAGCTTTACCTTGTATCAAGCCAGCATCTGTGTTCATGCAACTTATACCCATGGCTCCTCTTTTGTTCCTGACCCAAGTGTCTTGTCCATATCTTTCAAATATTCAGTTTTGTTTCTCCCCTTCAGTCCTTCATGGTTTTCAGATCCTTTAGCCAACTGTCCACATGACTCTGCTCATTCCCCAATTTGTCTATGTCCCTTTAAAAATGGGATTCAGGAACTGGACTGTGGGCTATGAGGGTCTTTTTCATTTTACCACTATGCAGATATCAAGCACATTAGCTCTTCTTTCTATGCCATCCTCGTGACCAATTAGCACAAGGGCAGGCTGCAGCTGTTCAGTAAGCATTAATTGGTGGCGATAAAATGTTGTGGCAGAGCAATGTCTGACAAATGTGTTCAGCAAGTCCATGACCCTACAGCCAAGTTTACAAAACTGTAGTATGGAGTAACTTTACAGTGAATTTCAATTCATCCTATAAAAGCCTACACAGATCATTCAAACAGGAGAGCCTCTTGGACCTCGCTGCCCATACAGCTGGGGAAGCTGACTGGGGATTTGCATCTGGAATGTAATGATTTCAAATCCAGAGGTTCATGCTATCATGGATTATCCCAAACCATCTGTATTGGTTCAGAGAAAGGCTGTCTGGCAAACCCCTTTCCAATTCCATGTTCCAAGTACTTGAATGTACATTGGAGGTATAATTTGAGCTTTTTTTCTTTTCCTCATATTTTCTATGTTTTTATTTGAAGTAGACAACTGGGTCAGATGAGACAGACTCAGAAGTTATTATAAAGGTCACAGATAGAGTTTCAGCATTCCAAAAATGCCAAATAAAGATGTCTCCTTTATACTTAGGCAAGAAGTATTTCAAGAGAGGATAATTCTGTTTGTATAAGCATTAAAATATTATAGATGTTATAGAAGTATATATTATATATGGTAACACATATGTAACTACTAACATCATATAATGTCTAAAAATGACCACTATGGTTGTGCCACTAATAGATTAAAATTAACTGAGAAACTCTTTGGCAGAATGTGGTTCCTTCTTCACATAACTGTGAAGATATTGGTTGGATATATGGACAACCATTCAGCTCCTGGAAAAGGGGCGTCTATATGGTCCAACATGCTGAGACCTTTTTTGAACCTCCCAAAGGTAAATAAATCAGGGATGGCAGCCACACTCGGTCTCGATCATTGGGCCACTCCAAAATTGGATTACCTTCCCATGTACACTCCCCTTTTCTGCCATCTCATGTCCAAATAAAATGTCATCAACTATAAATTACCAGTGATAGGCTCTCACCACTGAATCAGAGATCTGTGTAGGCCACTGAGGGAAGGCCTCTTGCAAGAGGGTTATTTGAGAAGAAGTATAGATTATACACAGAGTGGGGTCAGACACATTGTATTTCTACAGACAAAATCATTAAGCAGAAACACAGCAGGATTTGTTTAATAATAAAGTGGTTTGTTGGGGTTTAGGATTTTATTATTTCTTTTTAGAAAAATGAGAAAATTTACAAGATGCAAAGGTCTTACACAATACATTATCACCAATGTTTGTTCTCTTTACACCTTAACCCGGGCCCTGGCTTAGCCAGTGTTGGGAAGAACATGGACAGCATGAATGCAGTTGAGACCCATCATGGACACATGTGAAGGGAGGACTCGGTGACAAATGATGTTGGGCCAACCTGTTTCAAAAGCAAGCCAAGAAATCACAGGAACCAGTAGTCTTTGCATGGGGGAAGCATGGGTGTATGCCCTGCTGCCATGTGCATGGGGTGCAGGCCCCTGCACTGCCAGCATCCACTTTTGCTATTAGACCACAGCAACAACAGAAAACGGTATCGTTCCTTTGGTGGTGGTGTTTTGTTCTGCTTTGTTTCTGCAGGGCTACTCGGGGTCCCAGTTTCTTATTTCTGTCTTCCTTTTCATGATTCAGTTCCAAATTCTTAAAGCAGTGTAGGTACTCAGCATCTTTCATGAATTTTTCAGGATCCAGTTCTGCCCAATGCACTACAAAGAACAAAGATAAGACACATTACAGGAGAAGGTCCCAAAATATGCATTCGAATCTTATTTTAAAAATATAACCAAGCCTAAAGAAACAGCTAAAGATACCCTTTCAGTTCAGACAGTGACAACAGCATGACAGTATTTCACTTTACTATGAACAATCTGCCATGTTGTCATGTATAAATCCAAACACCTTCTCACCCAAGTCTCCAATTTATTAGAACCTCATTCTTAGAGCTCAAAGAGACACTAGATATCTGGGAATTAACTCACTTCTTAATGGCCTTTGGATCAAAGAGAAATGAGAAAATATTTTAAAGTGAATGTAAATGAAAAGGCAACATATCACCATCTGTGATATGCACCTAAGGCAGTATGTAGAGGGAAATTCATAGCATTCAAAGCTTATATTAGGGAAAAAAAAGCTATCACATCAATAATCTGAGTTTCCACATTAAGAAACTAAAAGAATAAAAGCAGAATAAAACCCAAAGCAAGAAGAAGAAGAAAAAAAAAAAAGACTAGAGCAGAAACTAATGAAATTTCAAACAAAAGCAAAAAATAAATGGAAAGACCAATACACTTGATAAACCTCTTGCTGGACTTACCAAGAAAAAAGAAGACGTAAGTTATGAATATCAGGAATCAAAGAGGCAACATCAGTATGTTTTATAGACATTAAAAGGATAAAAAAGGATATGTCACAAACAACTTTATTCCCACAAATTAGACAACACAAAAGAAATGGACAAATTCCTTGAAAAAAGATATAAAAGTCTCATTTCCAAATCCTTTCAACCAAGAGGGAGGCAGAGGGGAACTTAAATAAAGCATAGGAACAGGGAATAAACTAAACACTTGCTTTTGAGGTATTTTTAATATTGCTCAAAGGATGGTAGGTTCTTCAGTATAAAATCTCCCAAGTGTCTCAAGTTTCCCTCTGTAATTCTGAGGCTACAAGAAAAACCAGCTAGTCTTGCCAAGATTTGTGAGGCAGGCAATTGACATCCAAGGATTTAACTAAACCCCAAACTTAATACAGCAGTTTCTATTCCCTCAGATCTAAATTCTAATTGGGTGAACTTCAGTAAAAGCAAAAGATTCTGATAATAGTAGGCTGCAAAGTGATACCACATCTGTGAATATGCTTCTGGATGCACCCAGCACGGGTCGCATTTTTAGAAAAGGGTTGTATTATGAGCAGATGTCTCAACAGAATTAACAGCCTTCCATTCCTGCACCCAGCTTGATATGGAGGTCCATGGGCCCACACTAGAAAGGCTAATTATAACTACAGCTATGTTCTCCAGTCCTATACGGACCCACACAAGGGACTGAAATTTTCCCCAAGGCCTACCCTCATGCTCTAAAACCCACCAGTCACAGTCCTGTACTGCTTCTTAAGAGAGATCTCAAAGACCACAAAGCGATAGGGATTCTACAACATAATTCCTGGGGACCATATTACTTCCATTTTTAAGTCAGGAAAAGCAATTCATATGCTCCTATATTTTAATCATGATGTTAACCCAAATCTAGGCGCCTGGGCTGTATTAATGCCTCTTTCCTCATCTGCAATATTAATAACTAAGATCCTGAAACTGGATCTCACATTGACCTTTGGGGAACTTCATTTTCTTGGTGCAGATTAAAACCTTTGTTTTTGAACTTAAAATGAGCTTTGGGATCCTGCTGTAATATATTATTCTTTTACATTTACTTCAAATAAGTATTCTACATGTTTCAAAGCTTTGAGATAATAAAGTGATGCTTCCAATGTTTGATGTGCAGATGGAAATGATAAGGTTTGCTGAAGAAGAATAAATGACCTGGAAAATGTTCACAATATTCCATTAGATGATAAAAGCAGTGACATTATATACACAGTCTGACTTTAACTATGTAAAATTAGAGAAAGAGATATAGAATTATCTGATTAGAGAAAATGTTACAAAAGCATTATGTTAATGATTATCCTCGATTAAATGGCAGGTGACTTTTATTTTCTTTGAACATTTTGGCATTTTAAACAAATTTCTGTGATGAATGAGCATTAATTCTGTAATACAAAATAGCTGTCAAAAGAAATTTTATGAGAAAGACAATTTAGAAATTCCAATTCCCTACCAGAGAATTACAGAACTAGAAGGGACCCTGAGAGTTTTCATCCCAGGAGTTCTCAGAGTTTACAGTAAACCACTCAGGCCTAGGGACTTCATAAAGCACTTAACCTGAAGGGTTTAAACTAAGAATTCCTTCAGAATTAACTGTTCTAATACTGGGATATGCAGTAGGCACACCTCATCATAATATCAAACAGTAACAACATGAGTATATGCAAACAATGAATCATGGAACACTACATCAAAAACTAATGATGTAATGTATGGTGATTAACATAATAATAAAAAAAAAGAAAAAGAAAAATAACATGAGTGATGAGCTCTGAAACTGCATGCAAGAGCCTTGTGGCCAACAGTAAACACTGTTCCACCTGAAAGCCAGTGCCTCACCATAATACATGGATTGGTCAAATAGATGCTGCTTTTTATTTCCAACCTCACTTGTAACAAACGTTCCTTCTCATTTTCTTAAACATAACCGTGGAAAAACCTAGGGGCCAGGATGCTGGCTGTCAGGTGGGTGTGGCTGGAGATCATAACACTCACACGGCCTAAAGCAGGAAAGGCGAGAGGGAGCTATCTGTGAGGTCCACCTGCCAGGTCACAAGCACTGAGCAGAAGTCACGTGCAAGCGGACAAACACAGGATACTACACAAAAGGGTGTCGAAATTTAGAAACCCTGGAGGAAGGGTAATGTGGCTTCCTGTGAGGGCTACTGAGAGGATGGCATCTACTTCCAAGTGTCTTTTTCTGATGTCCCTGTGAGTCAGGTGAGCCATCTGAGGATGGACATGACACGCAGCCTGGACGCACCTGACAGGCAGCAGTAAGTGCCCGAGATAACAAAGCACCACAATTTCATAGCCTTATGGAAAGAAGTTTCTGGAGTGGTTCCCTTTTATTGCCTGCAAATATCAGGGGCAGGAGGGAATAGTCCAGCACCAGAAGAAAGGAATAACTCAACAGCCTGTTTGAGTCTCTCAAAGATGCTGACTTCCAGCTGATCTGCTTCTGGCTTCAGGCCATTCGAGCAACCACAAGATGTAAGTGCTTGAGTTAAGATACACAGACCACAGACCTGCTCTCCAAACCACTGTCAAAAGAACCCAGCTTTTATGTATTTACTTCAGGCCACAGCTAGGAATCTAATCTGAATTCACTTACTTAGAAAGAAAGGCTGTTCTATGAGAAAACGTGAGTGTCTGAGAAGTCCACGTTATCAGAGAAGGATTCTCCCTGACTTAGCATTTGTAGAGATTCCAGTGAACTGAACTGTCAAGTGAAGACTCTATGCCTTTACACAAGGGCAGATGGGCCTGACTTGGTGATGAGAACATGGGGACAGTGATTCAATTTCCTGATTAAGACAGAAAATTTTAGGCACCTGGGTGGCTCAGTCGGTTAAGCATCTGAGTCTTGATTTCAGCTCAGGTCTCGATCTCAGGATTGTGAGTTCAAGCCCCAGCATGGAGCCTACTTAAAAAGAGAAGAGAATGAGAGAAGAGAAAAGAGGGAGGGAGGGAGGGAAGGAAGGAAGGAAGGAAGGAAGGAAGGAAGGAAGGAAGGAAGGAAGGAAGGAAGGAAGGAAGGAAAGAAGGGAGGGAGGGAGCGAGGAGAGAGACAGGAAAGCTTGGTGTGGTGTGCTAAAGGAAGAAACTCCAACAGCAATTAATTTTTATTTTTGGCTTAACTTCTACGCTATCTATTGCTCACGTATATTTGTACGTATTTAATCAAGCCAGTCTTACAGAACTGAACTTTTTTTGTCCAACTGAACTTTCTGCAATGACAGGCTTCTTCTGTGTCAGCACCATCCAATATGACAACTACTAGCCAAATGTGGCTACTGTGACTACGGAAATGAATTTTAAATTTTGTTTAATTTTAATTAATTTATGCTTAAATATCCACACACAGGTAGCACCTACTGTATTAAATGGCATACTTCTAGGTTATCTGTAAGCTTAGCTCAATGCTTCAGCAATAAGGAGAATCACTAACTATGGCCAGCTTCTTGCCAATTTATTTTCTAATAAATGAAACTGAGGTAGAAGCCTAGGTGCTTGGAAATCCAACCCTACTGCTGGCAAAGTAACATAATGTACCTACTCTGTATCAGCCTCCTGTATAATATCAAAACCCAGAACATTAAGGTTTGGGAACAGTAACCTCCTCCAGATTAGAAGAGAGAATGGGGCAGAAAATAATTTTTGAAGAAATACTGCTTAAAATCTCCCAAATGTATCAAAAGACAAACATTTACAGGTTCAAGAAGCCCAGAAGACCCAAAGCAGTCATCAGAGTGAAACTCAAGATGTGATACAGATGTTGAAATTATCAGACAAGGGAAAATAAATGTGATTAATATGTTAAGGGCTCTACTGGGTAAAGTAGACAATACGTAAGAACAGATGGGTAATACAGCAGAGAGATGGAAACTCCAAGAAAGAATCAAAAGAAAATGCTAGAAATAAAAAACACCGTAACAGAAAGAAAGAATGCCTTTGATAGGCTCATCAGTAGAACTGAACACAGCCAAAGAATCAGTGGGCTTGAAAACTGGTTATTACAAACTTCCAAACTGAAATGCAAAGAGAGAAAAGAATGGGGGGAAAAGGGATGTGGGGCAATTGCAAAAGGTGTAACATACACATAATTGGAATACCAGGAAGAGAGAGGTAACAGAGCAGAAGTATTTGAAGTAGTAACAATGGCCAAGAATGTTCCAAACTGCAAAAAAACAAAATCTTGAAAGAAGCTGAAGGGGAGGGGAGGACAGGCGGAAGGGGTAAGAATGGGGGACAGCTGTGAACCCACCTTACCCACAGCGGAACAAGTATGAAAACTGCAAAGGGCTTCTCAGAAGAAACTATGCAAGCAAGAAGAGAGTGCAATAAAATATTTAAACTACTGAAAGAAAAAAACCACCAACCCAAAATTCTGTGCCACTGAAATTATCCTCCAAAAGTGCGGGAAATAGACTTCCTTAGATCTGCATTTCAAGAAACATTAAGAGAAGTTTTTCAGGCAGAAGAAACATGATATAGGTCAGAAACTTGGATTTGCAGGGTGCCTGGGTGGCTCAGTCTGTTAAGCGTCCAACTCTTGATCTCAGTTCAGGTCCTGATCTCAGGGTCATGAGTTCAAACCCCACATTGGGCTCTGTGCTCAGCAGGGAGTCTGCTTGAGAATTCTCTCTCGCCCTCTGCCCCTCCTCCCACTTGCTCGCAAGCTCGCTCTCTGAAAAAAATAAATAAATCTTTTTTTAAAATGTGTATTGCAACATCTAGGGCAACCACTAAAAAAATTTTAAGTTTAAAAAAATAAAAACCGCACCTCAGAGGCATAGTTTTATACATGAAGCAACAGCACCTGAACTGGGAATAAATGTTGACATAGGGAAGCAAAATGAAAGCTGTGGAAATGAAAGAGATTCTATTTTCTACAGGGGAAAAAAACAAAAAACAACAAAACAAAACAAAACAAGAAAACCAGTGAAAACATGACTATCCTTGAATACACACACATAACTGCTCTAGCTCATTAGGAAGAAATGTGCTCAGCCAGATAAATCTTGTTATTCAGACAAAGGTCAAGTTGAAAAAGCAAACAGATGGCAGCTTCCAAAACACTTTCCTTGCTTGGTTTCAAGTGTGTTGACATTTGAGGACAGAAATGTGGGGTGCTGCCCAGGAGCACACTCCTCTCACACCCTAATGATGGCAGCGAAGTAAATACTCAAATGAGGCCATACTTGACCTTGCAATCAAAGGCAGAGGGCATACGGTCCTCGTGAGAGGCTGCCATGCGCCTTTGGCTATGGCCAGAAAGGGAGGAAAAGGAAGTTGCAGCCTCATAGGAAACCTTGAACCCTCCCAGCAAGGTGAGTGAGCCTGAAGGAATGAGACCAAGTACAAAAACAGAAGTGCATTTTAGCACTTCCATGTCCAGATGATAAAATAAGAAACATCTGCAATGTGATAGAGAAATGTCAGCACCCTGGGAGTGTCCTCTGAAGGTTTCTGACTCACTTTCAAAGAAAACTATGCCCAAGCTCATGCAGTCTCTCACTCCATTTTCTTTTGCCTTTTCTTTCTCTCTCATGCCTTGGAAACTCAAAGCTGCTCCCTTAGGTCCTGTGAGGCTCCCTAGGGCTGTTTCTGTTGGTAAAGAAAAGCAAATAAAAACTGCAGCTCCCCTCACTGAGGCCGGGGCGGGGCTGCTGCTTTTCTGCGCAGCACAGTCAATGCCAAGGTCACCTTCTGTCACTACCGATTTCAGCTCTTAGAGATATCTGAATATTTGGTGGTGATTTCGTGGGTCTACTGGGATGACAAATTTCAGCAGATGGGACAACAAAAGCCCATGGGCAACAAAAAACCCAAATACATAATTGGAGGACCAGCTGTCATTTACTCCTGGCCTCCTTTAGGGTCTTCAAATCTGAGAACATGTCTATAATTCCAGAGGTCGGGGGGGAATCCAGCTCCTCCCTGGCCCTTGGCTGGCTGCGGCAGTGGGCTCTCAGAGGACCCCTCACATCTGTCCATGCCGGGATGTCAGCACCAGCCACCGGGCCTCCGCTGCCATCTCAGGTTAGAATTCCAACTGTACACCCACCTTCAACTGCCAATAAGTAAATGGTTTGCCTCACGCACTCAGTCAAAAAGCCAGACAGTGCTCCATAAATATGCAAAGAAAATGTGGCTTCTGCATTTTCATGGGCCCATCCAAATGTCCTCACGGGACTCCATCCCGCTGAGTAGCAGCAGGGGCAACCTTGAACCCCTAGTAATTCTGCTCACCTGGGTGTCAGAACATCTGAGTCCTCAAATGGTCTCTGTGCCTGGGTGGCTGGTGTGATTCCGCACCTGGTGCTGAGCCCCGGGGACACCATTGAGCAGCACTTGATAGCTCAGGGGCCAGAGCCCCTGCCCCTGCCTGACCTGACCTCATTCCTGCCCTCACTAGCACTACAGACCCCTCACACCCCACCCTGGGAGCCACATGGAGATGGTGGTTGAGACCTGCAGGGTCTGAGAGCAGCAGTGCTATCAAGAGCTGAGGTCATGACCCTCCTGGCTCTCTTAGACTCTACTCTGAGCCAGGCTCACCTCACTCCTTCCACCGGGACCCACGGTCAGCCCAACGGACCCCCAACACACCTCTCTTCGACACCCCTCATGGGGCAGGTGAGACCCTCTACCGACTCCTGCTGCATCTTGTTGCCTAACCATGTCTTGCTGCCCCTTCTACTCAGCTGCAGCAGCCTCGCAGAGACCTACAGCTGTCCTACACAGCAGTCTCCTGCCCGGACTCCCACCAGGGACCAGAGCACAGGCCCCCAGGCCTCCACCTTTCCTATCAACCTAACCAGCAGCCCGAGGACTCTAGCCTGGAGCCACAACACGACGTGTGGCCTTGGGCTTCTCCACCGGCTGTCCCTCTTCTCTCTCCCACTGCCTCTCCTAAGCTGAAGCTTTCCTTCACCTTCCCTCCTGCCGGACAGGGGATCCTCTCTACATCATTCCTGCTCATTCACCTTCTCCTCATCTCCCCACCACAGGGCCATAATGATGACAGGGCCGCAATGCCCTTGATTTACAGGGAAAAGGAAAAACACATCTACTGTTTTCAAAACACTGTGCCCTTGAGTTTGCTTCCCCCACTACTGTGTCCCTTCTCTGGCTAGTTTTTGTTTGTTTGTTTGTTTGACTCTTGAACAACATGGAAGTTAGGGACACCAACCCCTACACAGGTGAAAAATCCATAGAACCTCTGACTCCCCAAAAACTTAACTACTAATAGCTTACTGCTGACCAAAGCCTTACTGCTGACATAAACCACACATTTTCTGTATGCCACACATATCACGTACTGTGTTCTTACAATAAAGCAAGAGAAAAGACGATGTTATTAAGAAAATCATGAGGAGAAAACACATGCACAGTCCTGTCCTGTATCTATCGGCACCAGACGCTTTCATCTGTTCACAAGATGAATTGTCTGTCCTACAGGACACAAAACACTGTCACTGTACACGTTATCCACATCACTAACTGCAGACACCAAAAACGAAAAGAGAGTGTGAAAAATAAATTCATATTTATTTACAGGTGTAATACTAAGTGCGTTGAGAACGAAGAGGCAGTGGTAGGATTGCTTTATGGGAGCCTAGCCCATAGGCTAATGAATGAATCGTTATACAATGTTTCTGGCATATGGTATCACAGTCGTATTCATAATACAGTACTGTAAATACTGTTGTTTTAAGAACCACTTACCTGTGATGATAGGCCAGTGTGCACTTTGTCCAGTTATAAGACAGAGAGGCACACTGTATGGTAATTCTTTGAAGGCAAGGTTATAAGACAGTAAGAGAACAAACGTGTCATCAATTTCATATTAGTATCGCTCACCTTCCGCTCTCTGCTTCCACATGCGCCTTGCACATGATGAATACGTGGGCGATGATGACGATGACACACATCAGTCCTTGCTGCACGGCTGCCAGGTTTTCACACGAGGACACACACATACACAACCCATCAGTTTACTAACTGTACAGCACGATGATTATTTACTATTCAGTAAGTAGAAGTGGATCATCCCTAAGGTCTCCATCCTCGCAGTCCTCACGAAGAGCAGGCGGCGGAGGAAGAAGAGAGGCTGGTCTTGCTGTCCCAGGGTGGCAGAGCAGAGGGGGTGCAGGAGGTGGAAGGGGAGGCAGGAGAGGCACGCACACTCGGTATAACCATGGAAACACCAAATCTCATCATTTCTGACATTTTTGCTTCTTCTTTTCTCTAAAAATATTTCTATATGGCACCAATCCTTCCTCTATCTTTGCTTTAGTTTGTGTCCATCTCATAAAAGAAGCCGAAAGCAGTCAGGAATGCCTGGAACCCTTCTGCCAGACTAACACAGTTTGTTTTCTGCCACTGCTGCTTCTAGGTCTTCCTCCCCATCGCCTGACACTCATCTCCCTCAAGACGTCTTCTGGTAATTCCTCTGTGGTGCCCATTAGCTCTTGAATTTCTCCAAGATCTGTATCATGAAACCCTTCACCCCCTCAACTCACCTTTTTTTTTTTTTTTAAACCATATCCACAATCTCTTTCATGATTCCCATGACTGGCTCTGTTGTACATGCTGTGAAGTCATGCACAACATCTGGACACAATTTTCTCCAGCAGGGATTTATTGTTTCAGGCTTGATGGCTTTCACAGCATTTTCTATAATAACAGTGGCATCTTCAATGGAGTAATCCTTCCAGACCTTCTTGATGTTCTATTGGGGTTCTCTTCCAGAGCACAGACAATGCTTTCCATACAGTCCCGTGTGTGATGAGCCTTCAAGGTCCTCATGATCCCCTGATCTAGAGCCTGAATTAGAGACCAGGTGTTTGGAGACCACAGGGCCACTTTGACACCTTCAGTGTTGAACTCATGGGGTTCTGTAGCCAGGGGCATTGACCAACATCAAAAAGACTTTAAAAGGCAGTCCCTTCCTGGCAAGGTACTCCCTGACTTCAGGAACAAAGCATCAACGGAACCAATCCAGCAAAAGGGTTCTCACGGTCCAGGCCTTCTTGTTATGTAACCAAAAAGATAGCAGCTGGTGTTCATCTTTTCCTTTCAAGGCTAGGGGTTCGCAGCTTTATAGATAAGAGCAATCCTGATCATAAACCCAACTGCATTTGCACAAAACAGCAGTTAGCCTCTCCCTTCCTGCCTTAAATCCTGATACCTGCTTCTCTTACTAATAAATGTCCTCTGGGACATTTTCTTCCAGAATAGGGTACTTTGTCTGCATTAAAAACCTGTTCAGACAGATATCCTTTTTCCTCAGTGATCTTCTCAATGGTGTTTGGGAACTTGTCTGCTACCTCTTGGTCAGCAAAAGCTGCTTCTCCTGTTACCTTGGTATTTGTAAAGCCAAACCTCTTTCTAAAATTATCAAACCATCCTTTGCTGGCATTCAATACTCTAGTTTTAGATCCTTCACCTTCCTTTTGCTTTAAGTCGTCGCATAACGATTTCACCTTTTCTTTTCTCAAATCATCTTTGAGTCTACCGGTATGCCTTTCTTATAGCAATCCTGCACCCACATAAAAGCTGCATTTCCAATATGAGATAAAAGGGTATTTTGCAAAAAGTGCAAGGCTTCTGTGCCTGCTGGCATAGCTGCAGCAACGGCTTCATGAATTTCCTTTTCTTACAATGTTCCTTACGCTGGATTCATTGATCCTGAGATGGTGTGCCCTGCAGCTTCAGACCTTAATCTATGGTACACATCAAGCAATTCAGCTTTTTCTTGTGGCGTCATGACTTTTCTCTGCTTCTTGGGAGCAATCCCAGCATCACTAGTGGCACTTCGATGGGTCCCACAGTGTTACTCAAGGGTTAGAATACTGCACTAAACATGATGAAAAATATGCAAGAACTGTGAGAGGTCACTTTTTACTACGACCTGCAATTTACTGCAGAGACAAACTGCTCATGGGGAGATGATAAGCGTCACACATTTGAAGCGGGTGCGCACAACACCTGAGCTCACCGCACTAGCAACAGGAGGTGGCTAGGAAATTATTATGGTAGTATATAGCATGCGCTATAGTTAATTTTATGCAGTTACCATTTAATACTGCATCTTCACACTTGTTTACATTTCTCTCCACTGTAAATGGTGCCACATATGGTCTGTTAAGTATTTGTGTGTGTAAGTTTTGATAAATTTTAACTTTTTATAATAGATTTATGTGTATTTTATGGTAGTAACTGATACAACAGACTAGTACCTACATATATTTTATGCATTCATGACATGCCTAACTTTTTCTTAATTTTTTTTTTATATTTCTAGGCTACAGGGTTGTCTGTGGACTTTTTCAAATTGTTGCAAATCTCCAAAAAAATTTTTAATACATATACTGAAAAAATCCATAAGAGGGGATCCATAGAATTCAAACCCATGTTGTTTCAAGGGTCAACCGTAGCATGATTTACCCCAAGTTCTATACTATCCAATCTGTAATACCTTGAGAATAAACATGATTACAGGTTTTTAATTTTTCCACCGATTTTAGAAAAGCAAAAAATAAATACCTACAAGTCTATGAGAAATTTTGCCTCTTAAGCTTTGGGAGATGTTGGAAAGAAACGCCCACTTTCACCTCTTCCCCGTTTTACTGTGTGCTGTTTTCTATTGTGAACATGTCCTCCAGGATGTTCTTTGATACATAGTTAGTGTCTCTTCCTCTATGCATGGGGCTTTCGGGTGTTTTTCTTGCCTACAGAAATGGCAAAATCATTCCCAAGCTGCCCACTGGCCACAGGATACTAATGTCCAGGACACCTTTCTACCGGAATTATTCTAATCTAACTAACTAGACTAATTTACTGGAATTATTCTGAGGCCAAAATTTAACACAAGTAGAAAGTTATGTTTTGCACTGATATAAAAAGTAGAATTCAGTACCCCTCAATAAATAAAACAAAGATTCAAAGTAATGTAACAGAAACAGTTACATCAAAAATCAAAACATTAAATTTCTAAAATACATTAGCAAGTAGATAACATAGTCAAGAAAGAAATCAACTAGGTGGCATAGGAATTTTTTAAAACCATTTTGAAAATACAAGGTCCAAGACACATTTGAATTTGTGTGTGTATGTTTACATTGTTAAGCTGGGTTTGGTTACTGGGAGATGAGTGATTATATATTTATTCCTTATCTATTCATTGAGTTCATCATGGGAGTCTGAAAATCCAATTTTTTAAAATTTATTGTAAAGTCCCAAGACTCACTGGGGAAGAAGCTATTATTTATATAATCTTAAAACTAAAGGGAAAACACATGGTGCCGTGTCAGAGTAGGGCCAAGAGAGCAAAACACCGTGCAGGCTGGGCAGCTGCCCTTGGTCCAAGGAGGAGAAATAGAAAATGTCGGGTCTGGATTTTGCTTCTGAACCAAGGAACCACCCACTATAATGACTGTCACTCCCTGGCCATCAGATTGGCCAGTCCTTCATCCTTGGTCCAGGGGGCAGGAGTGAGTGCCAGGGCGGTCTCTCTAACAGGATCCCCAGGGGGCAGGGGAGGCTTAAGAAGAAGCACCACAGACACATGGGGAGACTTGCCCCTCCTGCCCCAGCCTGCTAGGACGGTCACCCAGCATTATGGCTTTACCTGCCTACCTTTCACAACATCACTGGTGAAGGGAGGAGGTTTAGTCTTTTAGTTAATGAAGAAAAACCAAGGAAGCAAAAATGACACAACTTATTTTCACACAGAAATTGGCAGGATGAAAATAAAAACTCAGTGAGTTTCTGAGTTATTGCTGGACTAACTTAACGAGCATACTTGTAAAACAAACTTCAAGAGCCTCTCTGTGCTTCACCCCTCAGACTGAAAGTTTCTGTTCAGACTATAAGTCAGAAGCACCAGCAGTATTTGTGATGACAAAACTGACCACTGGTATGAGCAAATCATCACAAAGTTCTGAAGGGGTGGGAATGGAAGTTTTATGTGATCTAAAGGCCACAAATTACACATGTAAATGTTACTGTGTATTCGTGAATATTTAACATTATTTAGACACCACACAGCACTTTTCAGAAGACTCTCCCTAACTGACACCAACTGTTCCAGTTCATGAATAAAAACCCATGTCTTGAGGTCCAGACCAAGAAAAGGGGGTGGGGGAGGCTTGTGATTGTGACGAATGAGGCTGAGTGTGAAAAAAACCTCCCTCTGATTCCTGCTTCACTTTCACGTGAGTGTGAGAAAAATCAGCCAAGACCAGTGACCACGGCTCTGTCATGCCCCATAGTTACAGGGAAGGAAACGGGGTGATTAGGGGAAAAGTCAAGGGGACATGACAGGATTGATTATCCAGTGCTTCCTTCCCTGTAAAACTATTAGTGAGTCCACAACGCAATCTTTCTGAGCTCTTTGGTCTGTCTGTGTTTGTAAACCAGCTCCACTGCACCCAAGTATCACTGCGGACTCTGTAACACAGCTCAGTGTCTGGCAGTGTGCATCCTAAAGGTCATTTCACAGATGGACTTCCCTTTCAGAAGGGAAAGAGAAGGCAGAAAACCATCTTATGAATGTTCTCCTCTATTGCCAGTCAACACCTGTACACTGACTTGGTTTGAAACCACAGACTATATATAAGCTGAAGGCTCCGAGATGGATGGCCAGACCTCGCTCCTCTCTGATTTCTGCTACCCCCTCCCAACTGGCCTATTGGTTCTAGCCTCACTCCCCTCGGCTGCTAGCGTGATCTCCTTAAACTCTGGAGCTGATTATGTCACTTGTATATTCAAACCGTTTCAGAGGTTTCCCGCCATCCCAGAATGAAATCCAAATTTCCCAGTTGCACGCCAGACCCTTATGACCCAGAACTCTCCTACTTCTTTAATTTTACAGAAGTTCCCCAGACAACCCCACCCCAAATTGTACCTAGCGCTTTAGCCATTCTTCTCCACCTCTGTTCCAAAACTCTGTCCTTGTCCCACACCCAACAGTGTTTGCAGCTACTCTTCTCCTGGCTTAGGCAGCTCCCACCCTCGCCCCTCATCTGCCCATTTCCATATGTCCTCTGAGGTCTGGTTCTGGGATCCTCCCCTCCAAGGAGCCTCCCCGACTTCCCTCTCCACCGCCTCACATTCCCACCACACCTCCACAATAAACCACACTGCTAATTAGTTCTATGCTTCTCCGTGAACTTGTGAACTCTGACAAGTAAGAGGCTCTCCAAAATGTGCTCGCTGGGGGAATGAACTTGAGCAAAGGCAAGGAGGTGGACTTAAGACACATTCCTGGGTGTGGAAGTGACGAGAATGAAGCCCAATTTTAGGAAAGGGACACTGGGAGTGCAGTAGGTGCCAGGCAGGATGAACTGAAGGATGGAAGAACAGGAGACGGGCAGCTCTGAGAGGAGCAGGCTGCAGGTGACCACGGTCCCGCTGGAGCTGCTGAGAGCAAGAGTGGAGAGGAGGGAGCAGGGGTGAGACTCCCAGTCTGGATCGCACATCTGCGAACACTCTGGAAACGCTCCCAGTAGCAGCAGTTGTCGGCCAACACAGGCAAGTGAGGAAGGAGAACACCCCAGGCCCACGGATTCCCCACCCGCACCTCCACTCTTCTCTCCACCCGGGAAGGCGGCAGATCCCAGGAGCCATGGGTGAATGCCCACAAGATGAATTCTGCCTCAAAAGCCATTCTGTTCTCCATTTGTTACCATTTGCTCAAAATGTGAGAAGACGGAGCTATGCAGGGAGGGGAGGCTCCTACCTGAGTTCCATCCCTAAGTCTACGGCTCCCGCTCGGAAGACACGTCGCCTTCCGCCCCACTGCTGGCACTGCGGTCTTCTTTTCGGGGGGCATTTCTCTCTTTGCTTGACTCAGAAGGCCCCTTGGCTCTGGTCTTTTCTTTCCTCTGCTGCTGTTTTTCAAGCTTTGACAGCTAATTATAAAAAGTAAAAAGACTTGTTTTACAAACGTAAACATGTGCCTGTATATCCAAAACACCGATTACTTCACACACAGCAACCACTGAACACGCTTCTGTCTGATAACCCGGTGTGCCTCAGGGTTTCAGATGTGCCAAATGGGCTGCAAAATGTCTGTCAGTCAGGCACCCGAAATGTTAACACACATTAGTCACATGCGGGACCTCTCCGGACTTTCCCCACCCGTAACTCATCTTGCCATGTGCTTTTTAAAAATGGTCAATAGGCTTCATTGATGACTGAGAAGAGCCCAAAAGTGAGAAAGCTTCTATTCTGTTATTTTTTTTTCCTCTGACATCTCTAAAGCTTTTTTTAACCAAGTTGTCTTCCCACTTACCATTTTCTAAAGAGTGATCAACACACTCCTCTCTTTGCTGAAGGTAAGAGAGAAGGCTCTGAAGAAAGGACGTTAAGCAATTTTAGACATCATCTCAGTTCTGTTTGTTGAGACTGAAAGTACCCACAGCCAAAACCCTAAGTGCTCCTAGTAGGCCGCATGGTGGCTACACAGGGATGCTGGCCCTGGGAGCCTTCTCAGACCTCCTCTGGGCCAGCTGGGGGACATGCCTCTGGCATCTGACTCCAGAGGAACCTGGGTCCACTTCTCCCCTGGATATTCTCCCCAATTTGTTCAAGGAAACCACAGACTAGACAGTCGAAAGAAACAGATCATCTGACACTCTGAGCAACAGCAAGGACACTCCAGAAAGGCCTGCTGAGAAACTTGTCAGAGCACACTGGCTAAGTCTGGGCCCACAGGATTTTCTTAGACCAAAAAAGCCATCTGTAACGAGAGACAGCAACACCCAGTTTCATCTGCCTCCCAGATCAGGACTGCAAACATTTTATAGTTCACATGGAAAAGAGGGAAACTTAATGAAGAGCTGGCTTCTCCCTGTCAGTCACTGTCCCACATCCAAGCACACAAAGAAAACACTATAACTAACCTGCCATGTCATCTCTTGATTATAGACAGACTTTGAACTAAATCTTTAGATAGATCAACAATCAGCAGCTCTCAATTTGGTCCAGAAAACCAAATTTATTAATGGTTGACTTATAATATTATCTTTCCCACTCCCCATTTACCTGAAAAGCTGTAGTAAACAATGAGGTTAGTGAACATGCTAATTAGACTTTGTGAATGAAGACATCACTTCACCTTTGACCCATCAACTCTCCTCCCAAATAACTCCCCTGGACAAATTCCCATTCGTGTGCATAGGAAAGGCTCACAGGAATGAGCACGGCACTGTTGTTTGTATCAGCAAAAACCCAGAAACAACCTAAATGTCCACTGACAGAAGGATAGATAAATGTAATGTGGTATATAGTCAAATAAAGCAATACTGTAAAGCAGATCTACATATATCAAAATAGATCACATTATGCAAACCAAATTAAGTTTCAAAAGGCTATATGCAGCAGGATTCCATTTACACAAAAAAACACTATACACTGATAACGGGCTTATGCTGATTTGGTATGACTAGGAGAATACAAACCAACTTCAGTACAGTAGTTAAGTTTGAGGAGACACAGAAGAGAATGGGATCATAGTGGAATGAATATATATGGGCTTCCACCATCCTGTCAACTTTTACTTTCATTAAAACATAACCAGATAGAGAACAGGGCTGCTGACCAGTGCCAGTATGTGAACTGCTTGCTACCGGCACTTGAACCACTAACAATAAAATGCTTGCACCAGGATGTAAACCAACACATAGCTTCCTTCATCAACAAACTCTTATGAAAATAGCAACTACTGAACTGTGTGCTTGGTGGCATTTTTCTCTGTACTATTCTGCCACAGATAAGAAAGGAATTTCTTGCATCTAAGACAACAGCCTTCCATCCTCATTCCCCTTTTGGTGTTAAAATGCTCCTTTTCTTGGGCACCTGGGTGGCTCAGTTGGTTAAGCGACTGCCTTCGGCTCAGGTCATGATCCTGGAGTCCCGGGATCGAATCCCGCATCGGGCTCCCTGCTCAGCAGGGAGTCTGCTTCTCCCTCTCCCGCTCCCTGCTCTTGTTCTCTCTCTCTCATTCTCTCGCTCAAATAAATAAATAAAATCTTTAAAAAAAAAAATGCTCCTTTTCTTCATGAAATGAGGAGGATAGTAGATGGGGGTCCTTCTGTCTTGCTCTTTTTTTTTTTTTTTTCAAAAATAATCTTGGATTGCACAGTGTGAATGTACTTAACATTACTGAACTGCACACTTAAAAATAGCTAGGATTGGTAAATTTCATCTGTATTTTACTACAATTTAAAAAAAACTTTATTGAGCTATATATAATCATCATATATTATAGGAGTTTCAGGTGTACACATAAATGATTTGATATTTGTATATATTGCAAACTGATCACCCATACGTCTAGCTAACAGCCATCACTAAAGAAATTTGTTAATGATCTTAGAAAACATAGAGTTGGCACTCCATGCTGGACACCGCCCCCATTTCTTTTTTATTTTTTATATTCCTAGTTCATGAAATCCAAACATCTGGAAATCAATGTTCTCAGTGAACTGTATAAGCCACCTTCGGCTGCCAGCAGCTTACATTTACATCAGTGTCTGTGTCTGTGTTTACGTGTGTATCTACAGACAAGTTACACACACACACACACATAAAATCATGAACATGTTCCAAGTTAGGCACTAAGAAAGCATGATCTTTATTTTAAAAAGAAACCCTCTCCAGGGGCGCCTGAGTGGCTCAGTTGGTTAAGCGGCTGCCTTCGGCTCAGGTCATGATCCTGGAGTCCCTGGATCGAGTCCCGTATCGGGCTCCCTGCTCGGCGGGGAGTCTGCTTCGCCCTCTGACCCTATCCCCTCTCATGTGTTCTTTCTCTCTCATTCTCTCTTCTCAAATAAATAAAATCTTTAAAAAAAAAAAAAAAAAGAAACCCTCTCCATTTTGTGTCCCCTCTTTAGAGGTAAATATAGAAAATGTGAGTACCACCACTGACTTAGCCAAACCAAGCCTCCCCCCGCTGCTAAGATTCAATCTCATGAGAAGGCCTGTTTGTCAACCGACCTGTTCTTTACTTTCTACTCTTAAATGCTGGTGAGAAGCCAGACTCTGGGAGGGTGACAGGGAATAATTCCCAATTAAAGCAGGCTTCTCAGAGGTTTCTCCGATGCCCACAGTGCCCATCTGATTCTGCAATGACTCGGAGGTGCCACCAACAGAGTGTGAAACTGTGGAAACATCAATTTGACCTTTCACCCCAACCCTGTCCCCTCCCACCACGGACCACACTTGTAAAGCATGTGTGATAATTATTGAAGTGACAGGCATAGCCTGAGTTTCTGTGAACAATGTAATGCTGATTCTCTTATGTTATTTATCTTAATACAACCCCAACCACATATGGTTCCATGCCTCTAAGTTCTCTGTGAGAACACTGAACTAACCTAATAAATTTAAGCCTTTTCTCAGAAAACTTGGAATCCAAGGCAGCCAAAACTTGGAATTTACATCTCAAGGCAAGAAAGCAGTTGGATTTTTTCTTTTTAAAGGAAACAAATGAGAAAGAAAGAAAAAGAAGAAAAGAAAACAGTAATGCATATGGAATCATGTAGGATGTCAACAGCTTTCAAATTAACAGGGAGACGCATGTCAAGGAGAATGTAAACCACTACAGTCCTGTGAACACATGATCTACAAACACTGAAATGGAGTACTTTTCGTTTGTTCTTTGTTTTTTAATTAACTGATGAGGATGTCCACAATGTAAAGGAAACACTGTCCAAGCCATACAGGCTCTAGTATCACAGGAAGAAATCCAACCTTCCAAAGGCAGCTCTGGGCACCCAGACGCGGCCAGGGGCCAGTAACCATTTTATGGCCAGCCTGTACCTCTCGTGGTGGATCCTGGAAAGTTCTGAGGGGGCTAAGGCAGGGGGGATGGAAATACCTAGACCCCCAAACTCCCCAACTCATGATTAAATCCAGAGCAAATAAAGGATTTTCCTTGTCATAAAGAGGTCCATGCTCAAACAGCATAATGTAAGAATAAACCAGTTGCACATGCGTACTACTGCACGGATTGCAAACCTAAACGCCTTAAAGGGCGAGACGGCTAGCAAACTGAGGGAAGTAACAAAGTACCAGACAACAGGGCACGGTAGGGACCGCAACCACACTGGAGAGAACAAGTCCCACCTAAGGACAGTCACGTTTCTTCTTCAACATCTGACAGATGTCCTGTCAATGGGACAGATATGGGCCCCCTGTTGGGGCCTTCCACTTTGCACTCCCTCCCACCCCCTTGTGATCCCGCTGGCTCTGAACAAGCCAGTGACAGCTGTATCATCATCAGTGTCCCACAGAGAAACCACTGCCAGCTGCCGGCACCACAGGTACAGTCATCTTCCCAGCTTCTCCCTCCCTCTCTGCTGACCCGAGCCACTTGCTACTTCCGAAGTGGCCCTGTCTGGCCCTGCTATCACATTCGCGTGCGATGGAAATCACAGCCGACAGGACCTGAGGGGGTACAGGGGCTACAGAGCAAGGTTTCCCTCCCTGATAAACACAGGTTTATCAGCCAGCCTTGTTCCCAGCTAATTAAGGCTGAGTTATTGTTGTGTTGGAGCCTTCCGACTTCCTTAACCATCAAGGCAGAAATGTACAGGCAGCTTGCTGCTAAACCACCAAGGAGCCGGACCCGTGTCGGAACCAGTTTCTCTTTAATTTGGCAAACAGAGATGGCCTCGAGGTCCCTGCGTATCTTCTAGCAATGAAGACGAGGGCAAAGAAGGATCACAGCCTGGCCTGCTGTATGCTACAGGCAGAGTGGCAGGGGTTGCCAGTACCCCCAGCTTCCTCTGCTTTAAAATGGGGATTACAGGGGTGCCTGGGTGGCTCAGTTGGTTAAGTGTCCAACTCTTAATCTCTGCTCAAGTCACGATCTCAGGGTTGTGAGATTGAGCCCCACATCGGAATC